GCTTCACTCCTCAGCAGGAGACATGGGGCCGTCTGGTTTCCTGGGCTCAGGAATAGATCCTCATCACCTATTAAACCATCCTGTTAGTCTTTAAAGTGCTCCATCGTTTTCCCTTTTGTTTTAGCAAGATCAGACTAACACGGCTCCCTCTATTGCTGGGCAAACAGAAAACAGCCCAGACTGATGTTCTCTCTTTGGGGCAGGGGAGAAAGTGAATCAAACACCAGCCCCTCCCTCATTGTCCTCTGCTCCCCGACACGCGTCTCCTCCACGAACAGCCACCTCTTGCTTGGCCACCCGGCTGCCCTTGGCTAATGGGGGCAACGCAATCCCTCTGCCGTGGTCCACTCCGGTCCGTGGGATCCAGGCCGGGTTTTCCGTGCACTCCCCCAGCGTGAGTGCAGCATTTCAAAGTGGACAGCGACTCTGTCCACTGTGTTAGTGCTAGTCCCGAAGTCGCCAAAGCATGGAGCCAGGGCCACGCATCGCACCGCTGTGCTGAAGTCCGGGATGGTGGGAGAACCGGCATTTACCAGTTCCCAGCCCCTGCATCTGTCCTGAGCTGCCCTTCTTTGATGCTTGCCATGGAGTTAAAGGGAATTCTAGCCAGTGTGTACCATGCTGTGCTCCTGCTGCCCTTCTCCCTTCTGCTGTGGGGTAAGTTTTCATTTTCTGTGTCTGCCTCTTACACAGTTACTACGTCCGGACGTTGGCTTAAGAGCCTGGAGTTGCTTGTCCTTCTGTTACTTGAGACCACCACAGTGTTGCTTACACATTCGGTAGCTGTGGAGCGTGGGGACATCTCATCTGGGGGGGGGGGGGGCATGTGTGTTTATACACAAAAATGAGACCCTGTGGTGTGATGTGTAATTCACCCGCCAGCGATTGCAGTAGCTGTTCTCCCTACCAGACAGGGAGCTGAAAACCTCAGGAGTAAAGTTCTCCCGAACTTCAGGTTTTTACTCCCGCAGAACAAACGCCCAGGAATAGCTTTTACTTTCCATTTATAAGTCCATTTGGCAGTAGTGGGGCATCCCGGGAGATGAGTAATATGCTTTGTTGGCTGGTAGTTCTGGTACAGACTGTGGGAGGAGGTGGGTGGGAGGCGAAGCTATTTTAGAAGCCTTTAAGAAACATGGTGTGTGCTGTAAGATGCAGAGTTAGGAGATGCCCCAAGTTTGTATCATTTTGGTGGGGCTCTTTGGACTTTCTTTCATGCCTGAAACTTTCCGAGCTGTGGGGAATACACTTTTACAGCCAGAGGGAGCCTCTAGCAGCCCGCGCATGTCTTTGCATCTGGGCTTAAAAGACACACACGCCGGCATCTAATTTCTTGCATGCTCTGGAAAATAGGCTTCCCCGTGTGTCTTCTAAAATGGGTGTCTGGGGATCTACTGGGCCTAGACATCTGGTTTAGTCATCTAGGGATTATAAGGTCATGTCAGGAGCATGCCCGGCCTTCCCTGGGAAGGAACACAGGGATTCAACTCACCTCCTGTGTCTCCCCTAGTAGTGCCAGGCCAATGCGTGGATGGGGCCTCTCTCTGCTAGGGCAGTGCAGCCAGTGACAAAGACGCCCAGAAGTGAGGGTAAACTATAGGCAGCCAAGACTGTTAAACACAGATATCGATTCAGAGCGCCCTTTTTGTGCCATGGTCTATAGAACTGAGCCGTCTAGTTCTGTCCAAGCTCTCGGTCCTATTTCAAGTTGTGGAAACCTCAGAACTTCCTTCCATTCCTTTCAGAATCCGACCCCGCTCGGCTATCGTCGGGCAGCTCAGCGCTTGGGTTGAACGGTCGGGTTTAGTTTTTCCCCCTGAATTTGTCTGTGTTCCGTCCTGACTTCTTTGTCCGACCCGTTGGCTCCAAGTGCCTGGAATTCCTCTGGCCACAGGGACGCAGTGGGGCTGTCTTTTGTATCCCGTCACCATAGCGACCGGTTGCAAGTGTGAAGCAATTCCCCGGGCTTTGTGTGGTGCAGAAGGAAGGCCCACCGCCCCGTGTGACAGTGGAGCTCAGAAAGGGGATAGCTGCTCGTTGGGGGCAGATGGCGCTTTGCCTCAGCAGTGCCTGGCTAGCGTCTCTCTCTCGGGCACAAGCGACAGGTTGGGGTTGGAGTGGGTGTCCTATTTACCAATCCACTTGTAAAGCGCACCACACGCTAACGTTTCCACAGACGCCCGCGTTCATGTTCAGGGGGAATTCTGCCAGAAGACTGAGTAGTACGGGGTTTACATTTCTGTAACCCCACTCCCCGCAAGGTTTCCACGCACTTTGTTAAAAAGGCCTGCCCTTGTGAGGCAGGTAAGTATTGTTAGCCTCGTTTTACAGCTATGGGAAACTGAGGCACAGAGCGACTTCCAGCGTGAATGAGTCATGGGGAACCACCCTGGGGTGTAGATGTCCAGTGTCTAGCCGTCACTATACAGCCATGCGGTGAAGCCATTAGACCCCCATTAGCTTCAGGTTCTCAAGTGTGGAATAAACTCTGGGGCTGTCTACACACGTCCCAGTCTGCGGCTTGCTGGAGCAGGGGCAGAGCCAGGAGTTCTCGGCCAACGCTGGTCTAGTTCATTTTGGTCCCTCGACGAGCACCTGCCGGAAAGCGGCTTTTAAACCGAACTTCCATGTTGCTCAGCCTCCATGCACGTAAGCAGGCACCTTATTGCCCAGCAGGGCCGAACCGAGCCATTCCGGCACCCGGGCAGACAGTTTAATTGCGCTGCAGGTTGGGGCACTGCGGGGGTTAACACGGCCCCCCGCCCTGGGTGGCCGCTGCAGGGTGGCCGCTGGGAGCTGCTGCTGCCTGCGATCCGGGTGCTGGACGCGTGGCACCTGATGGCAGCTATAAGGGGTGCTGTGCGCCCCTTACAGCTGCCATCAGGCGACCCCCATAGGTTGGCGCCCCGGGCAGCTGCCCGGCTAGCCCCCCCCCTTAATCCAGACCTGCTGCTCAGACCTCCTGTCCCGCCAAGGCTTGGGACATGGATTGTAAACACACAGGCAGGCAAACATCCCTTCTCCAGGGGGCTCTTGCGATTAGTTCTGACCCACACACAGAACAGGCGTCTCAAAACGCCATTCAGAGCAGCGCCCCCTTTGCAGTCTCCCCGCTGTCTGTTGACGGCCGACATCTTTACATTGGAATTAGAAACGAAAGCTCGTGAGCCACTTTGGTTCACTCAATCTCCAGGGACGCCCCGATTCCCGCGTTTGATCTGTGGCAATGGCTGAGAGATCAGAGACTGTGTAACCCAGGAAGGTCAGCCCAGAGGTGTGTTTATGAAGGGGAAATACAGGGGTGCAATAGGAACTGGAAGATCAAAGCGGTCCAGGGGCCGTATATGCAAAACTCCCGTAAACCATGGATTTACAGCTCTCGCATCCTCCCGCAAACCCTGGAACTCTGTAACAGAAGACGTTACATTAACCACTAGACAGACAGCAGCGACCTGTCTGGCTCTCTGGTTCTGTGCTAACGGTGGGTTTAATTCCCTGCAGTGCGGTAGCTCTGATTAACCTTATTAATATTTTGAGCCATACTTCTGGCCCTGGTCTGCCTTGTGGATTCTTGCTTGGCGCTGGGCACGGCTGCTCAGGAATTTATCACACATCAGGAGGCAGAAAGCCTGGAGCGATCACTCGTCTCCTTCCAAGTAGGCAAATAGGGCTCCCATTCTGCAAGGGGAAACTGAGGCACCTTAAGCGAGGCTGTGGCGGAGCTGGGGATTCAGCCCAGACGTCCCAGTGCAGAGTCCGATGCCTTGGCCCTAAAGCAGCACTCTACAAATACGAGAAACCGGAATCGTGGCTGATTCGGGCAGAAAGCCTGGAGCGATCACTCGTCTCCTTCCAAGTAGGCAAATAGGGCTCCCATTCTGCAAGGGGAAACTGAGGCACCTTAAGCGAGGCTGTGGCGGAGCTGGGGATTCAGCCCAGACGTCCCAGTGCAGAGTCCGATGCCTTGGCCCTAAAGCAGCACTCTACAAATACGAGAAACCGGAATCGTGGCTGATTCGCCCGCCATTAAAATGCAGCCACCTCTGAACCTGTCAGTTGTTTAAAGGGCCCGGCAGTGCAGCCAGGGAGTGGAGAAGCTATATCCAGCTAAGCAAGACTCAGGTCTGATCTGACAGGGGTTTCGCGCTGTTGGCGGCAAAGGGAACCGCACTGAGTCGCAGCAACACGCCCACCGGATTTTCGTGAGCACTCGCGCGGAGATTTGCCAAAAGGCCCTGGGACCTTTCAAAGGCCACACGTAGCCAGGCCTGTTTGCTGGCGCCGCTGAAGGGTGCCTGGAGCTGCACAAGGCTGTCGAGCAGCATGCTGGGCCACTGAGTTAGTACAGGCTGAACTGCTCTGTTCGGGCAACATCCAGAGACCTGTGTCCGGACTGGAGAGCCCCAGGGGAGAGGTCGCCGGTGGCTGGGAGCCGGCCAGCATGGCCAGTGGGGCATCAGCGCCTATGGGGCACCAGAGCCGGCAGCTGGCAGAGTGGGGGGCCCAGCGGGGCCACGAGCACTGGCAGGGCGGGGGTGGCGGGAGCTCACGGGACTGCAGGAGCAGCAGTGGCAAGTGGCAGTGGGGACGTGCCCAGCAGGGAGGCTGGTGCCCTCCCTTCCCAGGCCTCCCCTGGCCCGGCAAACTCCCTTGTGTGGGATCAGTCGGGTCCCAAGGGTGCCGGACCAGGGAGGTGCGATCCGAGAGCAACTGCACTGACTGGCCGGCACTGCATCTGGATCTCGGAGCTTCCTGGCGATCGGCGTCCTGCCATGCCCAGAGTGTGCGAGCTCTGCCAAGACCCCAACGGGAGAGGGTCTGTCAACCGCTTAGCCCAGCCAGTGGGCCGTTGCCCCGCTCCCGCTGCCTCTGCTTCACCGCGGAGTCTCTCCAGGGCACGTCTCCACGGCAGGGCTCACGTCGAGCGAAGCGACGCAGCGTCAGCCACGGCAATGACGCAGCTGAAGTCGACATAGCTTCCCTCGGCTGTAGGCGCCGTCTCCACCCTCCCTCCTCGTGCAACGCGGGCTACAGGAGCCGGAGTAAAAAGTCCCCCAGCGCGCCAGTATTTCGAAATAGCGGCGTGTTGCGTAGACGCGCGCTTTGTGGTGTAGGTGTAGCCTTGGAGGCTGCTTGAACCGCTGTATCAACAATGACGCAGCTGAAGTCGACATAGCTTCCCTCGGCTGTAGGCGCCGTCTCCACCCTCCCTCCTCGTGCAACGCGGGCTACAGGAGCCGGAGTAAAAAGTCCCCCAGCGCGCCAGTATTTCGAAATAGCGGCGTGTTGCGTAGACGCGCGCTTTGTGGTGTAGGTGTAGCCTTGGAGGCTGCTTGAACCGCTGTATCAACGCCCGATGGCTGCTGGGGGCAGGGCTGGTTCGAGCCATTCCTGCGCCCCGGGCAGCGGGCTCACGACGCATCCGCAGCTCTGCCCCCAGGCTCATGCGCGGCCCCGCCCCCCGGTGCGCTGCGCTGCGCACCTTCCAGCTGCAATCGGGCGCGGTGCCTGATGGCAGCTCTAGGGGGCACCACGTGGCCAGGCGCACAGTGCCCCTTACAGCTGCCATCAGGCGCCCCGGGCAGCTGCCCGGCTACTCGCCCCCTGAACCCAGCCCTGCCAAATGTGGAGGAAGCGTTGTAACCAGCCCTCCTCCT